GTGACTAACACCTTAAATATGACTGTCCAATATTTTATCAAGTACACACAATATCTGGGAAGCTTCATATTCAGCACCAGGTGATAACACAATTGGTGTTTTAACATTTCCAGCCTCTACACATATCATATTGTGGTATTCATCATCAGCAAAGTCAGACATTGTCTTGGCTTTCTCAAGCCAGGGATTCCAAACCACTGAAAGAAACAAGCATTAAATTGTGTAGCATAGTTGACATTGCCTCTGACCAAAACTCCTTGTTATTCATGAATGCCATGATGGTCATTTATTAATCTAGATTTACTACAAATACCAAAACATATTATATAATCTATTTATAATCTATTTGGTACCAAATTGCAGAAACAGGATTCGTTGCATCAAAGTTAAAAACAAATCTGCTTTAAAGTTGCATTCGTACTTTGTAGTATATCCCAATAAAAATCGTATCACATCTCTATTAAAATTATTAACAAGTTGATTTAGCAAGAAATCCTCAAACACTGAATGAATGAAGCTAGCCTGCATAAACAATGTTATAGTGCCTAATAAAACCAATCTAAACATAATTTGTATTGTTGTAATCACTTTACTTTAAACAACTTATAATATTCAATTACAGTATTCTGTTGAATAAAATAATTCATGCACGATGCAAACCCCAAAGCTCTTATGTGTTTACAGAGGTCAAGGAGAGATTTTCTGCAGATTATATGGAATGCGGATGTAACTTTATTTTTAAACATAAGGCATTTCATTATAGCGCCCTCTAGTGGTATATACTTACCAGTGTCTGGCAGGTTAGTCTTCTTGATGACCATATTTTTACCATTCATCACATTACTGATAGTGTGCTGAGGTGGTGTACAATAATATACCCTGTAACCAATGTTAAACACTAGTAAATAACACCAAATAATATACCCTGTAACCAATGTTGAACACTAGTAAATAACACCAAATAATATACCCTGTTACCAATGTTGAACACGAGTAAATAACACCAAATAATATACCCTGTAACCAATGTTGAACACTAGTAAATAACACCAAATAATATACCCTGTAACCAATGTTAAACACTAGTAAATAACACCAAATAATATACCCTGTAGCCAATGCTAAACACTAGTAAATAACACCAAATATACCCTGTAACCAATGCTAAACACTAGTAAATAACACCAAATATACCATGTAACCAATGTTGAACACTAGTAAATAACACCAAATAATATACCCTGTAACCAATGTTAAACACTAGTAAATAATACCAAATAATATACCCTGTAACCAATGCTAAACGATAGTAAATAACCCAAATAATATACCCTGTAACCAATGTTAAACACTAGTACATATACCCTGTAACCAATGTTGAACACTAGTAAATAACACCAAATAATATACCCTGTAACCAATGTTAAACACTAGTAAATAACACCAAATAATATACCCTGTAACCAATGCTAAATGCTAGTAAATAACACCAAATAATATACCCTGTAACCAATATTGAACACTAGTAAATAACACCAAATAATATACCCTGTAACCAATGTTAAACACTAGTAAATAACACCAAATAATATACCCTGTAACCAATGCTAAACACTAGTAAATAACCCAAATAATATACCCTGTAACCAATGTTGAACACTAGTAAATAACACCAAATAATATACCCTGTAACCAATGTTGAACACTAGTAAATAACACCAAATAATATACCCTGTAACCAATGTTGAACACTAGTAAATAACACCAAATAATATACCCTGTAACCAATGTTAAACACTAGTAAATAACACCAAATAATATACCCTGTAACCAATGCTAAACACTAGTAAATAACCCAAATAATATACCCTGTAACCAATGTTAAACACTAGTAAATATACCCTGTAACCAATGTTGAACACTAGTAAATAACACCAAATAATATACCCTGTAACCAATGCTAAACACTAGTAAATAACACCAAATAATATACCCTGTAACCAATGCTAAACACTAGTAAATAACCCAAATAATATACCCTGTAACCAATGTTAAACACTATTAAATATACCCTGTAACCAATGTTGAACACTAGTAAATAACACCAAATAATATACCCTGTAACCAATGCTAAATGCTAGTAAATAACACCAAATAATATACCCTGTAACCAATATTGAACACTAGTAAATAACACTAAATAATATACCCTGTAACCAATGTTAAACACTATTAAATATATCCTGTAACCAATGTTGAACACTAGTAAAATACACCAAATAATATACCCTGTAACCAATGCTAAATGCTAGTAAATAACACCAAATAATATACCCTGTAACCAATATTGAACACTAGTAAATAACACCAAATAATATACCCTGTAACCAATGTTAAACACTAGTAAATAACACCAAATAATATACCCTGTAACCAATGCTAAACACTAGTAAATAACCCAAATAATATACCCTGTAACCAATGTTGAACACGAGTAAATAACACCAAATAATATACCCTGTAACCAATATTGAACACTAGTAAATAACACCAAATAATATACCCTGTAACCAATTTGAACACTAGTAAATAACACCAAATAATATACCCTGTAACCAATGTTGAACACTAGTAAATAACACCAAATAATATACCCTGTAACCAATGTTGAACACGAGTAAATAACACCAAATAATATACCCTGTAACCAATATTGAACACTAGTAAATAACACCAAATAATATACCCTGTAACCAATATTGAACACTAGTAAATAACACCAAATAATATACCCTGTAACCAATATTGAACACTAGTAAATAACACCAAATAATATACCCTGTAACCAATGCTAAACGATAGTAAATAACACCAAATAAATGGCATGATATATACATGTTGCATAATACATGTTTACTTTGACTTGAGTATTTAGCATGCTGTTTA